CCTCCGTCTTCTTCACCACCACCATCATCACCTGGGGACAAAATGCGCCACCGTGCCTCTGGGCACGGAGCGGGCGTGTCCTCAGGTCTTTTGCCTAGTCGCCAAAGCCTCAATCCTCGAGCCTCAATCCTCAATCCTCGAGCCTGAATCCTCACTCTGGAGAAGTCTCTTAAGCGCCTGGAGCCCAGATTCCCTGATCTACTGGGGCGTGCCGAGTCTCGTCAAAGATCTGGCGCATCTCCCCGAATGACTTTTTATAGCCCATGAGGGCCCCAAAACGGGCCAAGGGAGCCCCAAGAGACCCCCAAGATGGTCCAAGCGGGCCTCCAAGACGCGTAAAGATCGCTCCAAGACGCCCAAGATGGCCCAGAGACGGTCGAAGAGGCCTCCAAGACGTCCCAAGAGGCATCCTAAGAGGGCCCCACGAGACAACAATCATTGATCTCCCATCGGTTTTGAAGGATTTGGGCGTTCTCGCCTTTTCGGCTTGTCGATTCTCCAAGGCAGCCCAAGAGGCCCCCAAGATCGCCCCCAGAGGGCCCCAAGACGGACCAAGAGGCCCCCAAGAGGCCCCAAACAAGAGGCCCCCAGAAGGCCCCAAGAGGCATCCAAGAGGTCCCAAACAGGCTCCCAAGAGGCCCCAAAACTGGCCCCGAGAGGCTCCGATAGCACTCCGAAGAGACCCCAGGAAGCATCCCTGAGGACTCTGACCCACAACCCAGTCACGGTGGCGGGATGGGCCGAAGGCCATTGGTTATACCTAGATCCACCGGCCCCTGGGCTTCCAGAACATCGGTCCCACAGGCGGTGAATGTAAATGCATCCCCGCCTCACATCCACCCGCTTCCTCTGCTCCCCATCTTATCTGCCCTCGCCAGTGTGCTGAACGCTCTCGCACAGGCGATGTGTTCAGCACTGCGAGCTATGTGGTCCGCAGGTGCTGGTACTCTCTGAGGCTTCCTACCATGGCTCGGGGGTTACTAAAGGTGCCCCCAGCACAAGATCCGATTTTGGCGCCCCTGGGGCCCTCTGGGCCTCGTCAGGGGTGCTCTGGAGGCCGTGGGGGCCTCCTTGGAAATCCTGGGGACACCTTGGGCCAGGGCCGCCTCTGACAACGCCCGAATGGCCGCCGCCCACCTCGCGATCGCGTACCAGCCGTACTTTTGGGCGCCCGAGTTATCCGGGGTAACTCGGGTCCGGGGTAACTCGGGTTTGGATTCCCGAAGAAGGAACCCGAGTTATCCCTGACCCGAGTTACCCCTGATGATTCGGGGCTCTGGACGCCCGAGTTATCCGGGGTAACTCGGGTCCGGGGTAACTCGGGTTTGGATTCCCGAAAAAGGAGCCCGAGTTATCCCTGACCCGAGTTACCCCTGATGATTCGGGGCTCTGACTCTTCGCCCTCTGGCCCGAGCCTCGCGCGCAGGCCAGCCACAAAGCCTCGCAGCGCAGCGGCCGCCTCCACGGCGCGGGCACCCTCGGGGCCCGTCGCCGCGCACCCCTCGAGAATCTTGGCGGGAGCGGAGGGCCCCCCGAGGGCTGCGGCAGCCTCCAGCAGAGCCCTCTCTGCCTCCTCGGCTTCGGACGCGCTCTCCGGCGGCGCGCCCGGGAGGACGGGCAGAGGGGGCGGGCGCTCTCGGAGGGCTCCGAAGGCCCCCGACCGTCCGAGAAGCTTCACGGGCCTTCTCCGAAGCCCTGCCGCTCCTCTGAGAGAGCCTTCCCCATCTCCCTTCCCCCCTCTGCGCGCCGCCGAGCTCAGCGCCTTCAGCAGCAACTCGCTGCGATCGCCCAGGGTCGCGGCCACGAGCTTCATGGCGCCCTCAAAGTTGCCCTCCACGACCTCCGGGATGCCCACCCATCCGGCCACATCCCTCCTCGCCAGGAGGCAGGCCGCGCCCGCTACGTGCTTCTTGCACCTGCCCTCCGCGCTCTCAAAATCCAACCCGGCAGAGCTCACGCACTGCAGCTGAAACATGTTCAGCCCGGAGAGCAGCTCCCGCGCGCGCGCGCCAGGTCCTGGGCCAGGGCCGCCTCCCGCCCCTGGTGAGAGCACGAAAAATAACGCAAAACGGAGCGGGAATCCCGATGGGGCAGGCTGGCATGTTATTCGTTGGCAACGGGTCCGTTCGCCTGGGCATAGACGCTCGCGGGGGGCAAACGTCGATTCCGCGCTCCTCTGCATGCCCGCCTCGTCGCCAGCGAAGGCCCCGAGGACGGGGCGTGGACCCCAGACCGCCACCAATTCCCCGCACGTGACTCTGTGACTGCTCGTCCGGCTCCCGACCATGAGGGGCAACGACAGGGGGGCAACAGCTCATCGGAAGCCCACGTTGCGCAGAAATCACGGCGTCGTGGGTCTGGCTCCTCCTTTCTCCGCCGCCTCCTCCTCCCACCACCACTGACCTCCCTCAAAGCCCATCCTACTCCTCCTGCTCCTCCTGCTCATCTGAGGGGTAGTGGTAATTAAGGGGGGGCGAGCTCAGAAGGGGGACACCGATCTGAAATCGGCGATGCATCGCCGATAGATCGGCGAGCTAGGCCTCCAAATGGCGAATGCGCACGTTCCTAGGCGGGGTGGGCTATCGGGTCTCTACTGGCGATCACTCGGCGATCAGGGGTTCTTGCAACCCCCCTGCGCCTATCCCCCCTAACGTTGCCCCTGAAGACTGGCGCTGGACCCCCTTAGCGGCGTCTCCAGCGCCGCCGCTGGCGCGCTCCGCACGCCAGGGAAGGGGTCCGGCGCCGCACCAAGAAGTTCGCACGGACCCCGGAAAGTTTCTGCGCATGCCGATTCTTCGTCGTAGAGGTACTCACCCCGACCCCCCCTAGCTAGAGCAGCCTCGTCGTCCGCCGCACCGGCTGGCGCTGGGCAGCCCCGGAGCTCGTACCACACCTCCCCGAACACGGGCACCGCCCTGAGGAGCTGGAAGCCGAGGCCCTCGAACAGCGCGATCGACGGGCCGTTGTGGTCCTTGATCTTGGCCACGAACGAGGCCGTGGACAGCTCTCTCGCACAGTAACCCATCATCAGGCTCAGCGCCTCCCGTGCGAGGCCGCGCCGGCGGGAGGCGGGCTCCGCTACCATGACCTCGATCTCGCCCCTGGAGTACGGCTGGCCGCCCTCGGCGTCGGCGCCGCCGAAGTTCGGCGGCGCGCCGTGGGGGGGGGGAACCGAGAGGGGGCAGGCCTTCTGGGAAACCTCCCGTGGCTCGACAGAAGGCCCAAAGAGCTCCTCAGAAGGCCGCAGGCTTTCTAGGCCCGCCCACTCTGCCGCGCCCCCCCGGGCGCGCCGCCGAGAAGTAGCAGTTCACGTCCCCAGCCATCGCGCCGGCCTCCCCGGCGGCCCCCAGCGCAGGATCGCCAGGCCGGGCTCGGTCCAGGATGATGAAGGTCAGCTTGTCGGGGTCCTCCCGCCAGCTCCTCTGCATGGCCAACTCCTCCTCCAGCTCAAGCGGCTCGGAGCCGGTCAGCTCTTGGAGCTCGGGGTCCTGCATCCACGCGTGGTACACTGGCACCATGGGCGGAGGGAAAGAAGACGAAGGCCATAACCAAGACTGAACGCGGATAAATCGACGTCGGTGTTGGTCATCCTCCATCTCGGTCCCCGTCCATTCGTGGAGCCGTCAATTCGGCGACGGCCAGCATGGATCATGACCAATATCGGCATCGACAAGATCCCGCGACGTCGTGGTCATGAGCGTCGTGCCTCTTCCCTCGAATGGACGCCTCGTAGGGGACCAGCACCAGCCTCTCGCCCTCCAGCGTGGTCTGCTCGTTTATCCTCATCGCCCCCGCGCCTGTCGGGAAGGCCGCGGCGGGCACTTTTGCTGGGGCGGAGGCGACTCGCGCGGAGCTTGGGGCAAAATGGCCACGGAGGGGGAGGTGCGGTTCCACCGCGGAGTGTCGAAGCCCAGGAGAGTGCGGAGGCGGATGCGGAGGGGGAGGAGGGAAAGGAAGGGGGAGGAAGAAACGAAGAAGAAGGGGAGGAGGGAGAGGAGGGGGAGAAGGAAGAGAGGGAGCACGAGGGGAAAGGGGAGGTCGGCGGGGGGAAGATGGGGAGAAGGCGGCGGAAGGGGGAGGAGGGGAAGGTCAAGACCGAGGGCAAGACGCTTGGGGAGGCGCCCGATCCCCTCCCCATCCTACTCGTCCCCTCGTCATCGTCAGCACTATCATCACCAGAACCGTCATCGTAAACATCACCATATCCTTCATCGTCGCATGACCATCAATCATAAACAATAGCATCAACAACGTCACCATCATCCCCACCACAATCACCGTCCTCATCAACATCATCACCATTGGCAACATCATCATCAACAACTACATCATTATCAACATCATCAACAACATCATCAGCAACATCATAGTCAGCATCATCCACATCTTCATCAATGTCAACATAATCATCAACATAATCATCATCATCGCCACCCTCACCATAACCGTAAGAATAATCATCATGATCACCACCAGCCGCATCATCCCACCAGCGCCCCATGAGCATAACAGCCGTCGTCATCAACCTCATCCGCATAATCGCCATCATCAGCAGCAACGTCCATTACAATCGCCATCGTCATCATCAGCGTCATCGGCATCGTCATCGTCATCGTGGTCAACACAATGTGAACTATGGGCGTCGTGGCGATCGTCACCCTTATCCTCATCACGTCAATCCGTCGGAATACCATCATCCGCCGCAGCAGCATCATCACCACCACCAGTATCCTCCTATTCATCATCGTCATCGCCCATCGTCATACGTGCCATCGCCATCAGCATCATAATCAGCATCATCAGCAGCAGCATCATCCTCATCATCAGCGTCAGCATCACCATCATCATCATAATCATCATCATCATCATCATCATCATCAGCATCATCATCATCATCATCATCATCATCATCATCATCATCATCATCATCATCTTCATCCTGATCCTGATCCTCATCCTCATCCTCATCCTCATCCTAATCCTCCTCCTCCTCATCATCATCATCATCATCATCATTATCACTACCTGCAACATCCGCATAGAAACAACATCATCGCAATCAGCATCACCAGCATCACCACCAATTGCAGCGTCATCAAACGCATCATCGTCATCATCAGCATCATCATCAGCATCATCAGCATCATCATCATCGTCATCATCGGAGTTGTAAGAGTCCGAATGGTCAACAGACGCATCATCGTCGAATGCACCGTCATCAACTTGCAATCATCACCGCCATCACCAGCAGCACCAACATCATCAGCAGCATCATCATCAGCAATACTGTCATCCTCCCCCGACTCACTGTGGCGCCGAACTCATACTCTCGAAGCGATGATTACACACAGACTCTGCAGCAGACATACCACAAACGAGTGCACCAGGGATCGGCCGCGCCCCGTCGGGCCGTGACCCGTGGGTCGCGAGGGATACACGGACCTCCTCGCCTGCGTCGAGGGGCGGGCGCCACTGGGGCCCACTGAACCTCTGGCGCCAACGCGGCCCGCCAGGGCCAGTCTGCGACACGCGAGTGGCACGCTCTCACGGGGACTCGGGCGTGGAGTCCCCCGAGCATCGAGACAGGGCACGGGCGAACCCCACGTCTCAAGGCCGACTCGGCAGAGGCATGGCTCTGGAGGCATCCGGGGGCCGGGCCACTGGGCCCAAGCAGCTACGGAGAAGCCGTCGCGCCGCTCGCTGCTTCCCCGCCCGCGCGCCGAGCTGCGCCTTCGTCAGAGCGGTCCTCGTCTTCGAGGGACGCGCGCCAGAGCGTCGCGCGCGCGCCATGCGCGACGCGCTCACGCAACCCACCGCAGAGGTCGGATGCATCCAGACACCAACTGTCGCGCCAAGTCCGCACACTCCCTAGAAGCCACGGTTACCACAAACTCCAATGTGGAAAAGCAACCAACTAGCGCACCAAAGATTGGCCGTGCCCCGTCGGACCGCCATCACTGGGTCGCGAGGGATACGCGGACCTCCTCGCCCGCGGCGAGCGGTGGGCGCCACTGGGGCCCACTGGGCCTCCAGGACCAACGCGGCCCTCCAGGGCCAGTCTCTGAGAGACACCAATAGCACACTCCAGCGTTCCCATTGTTCCCGCCTGGCCAACGAGCCGCACGCCCCTCTACAGAAAGCCAACTGGACACATCCCACGACGAAGCACATGCCCAGGAGGCAACCAGGGAGCCCCGTGTCAAGACACACCTCAAGAGCAGCGAAAATATGCACTCCACCCCGCCCTAGGATGGCCAATTAGCACCTCTTGCTGCACATGCCTTGAATATTATGATGGCGTCAAGTTCCCTGCTAGAGAATTCGCACTCCCGTAGCTTCACCAAAGCATCGACACTTGTGAGCGGCACCTCCCCTGTTCAGGCTGTACGGTGTATATTGTGTGGTGTGTGTTTCGGATGGGGGTCCCCGCTCGAACGGGAGCCCCCCTCGGGGTCCGACAACTCGCACCCTCATCGTCTTGCCCGTCCTGACGCCTCCTCCCTCTAGGTCTGAATATGCTGTCATCACATTTGGACGATTCTGGAAACCCTGACCCCCCCAAAAAAATGCCATCCATCTCCTGGGGGCACATCTTTACTTCCGCCGGCCTTCCGCCGGCGGCGCCACCGCCGCTATACTCCTGCCACCCACCGCCGACCTTTCGCCGCCTTCCGCCGAAGCAGAGATGGCAACCCCTTCATGATGGGCCTGTTTTCCACCACCACCACCACCACCATAAGTTGGAGGGGGGAAGGAGGTGGAGGTGGAGGTGGAGGTGGAGGTAGAGGATGAGAAGGAGGAGAAGGAGGAGGAGGAGGAGGACCCCCTCCCACTCCTACTTGTAGAAGCGGCGGTGGAAAGCATGCCCACACCTTCGACCCTCGCAGGCGAGGCCCTGCCTGGAATGCCTAGACTTCTGCTGCCTGGAGGCGGCAGCGGGCGGCAGGGGCGCGTGCGGCGGGTCCTCTGGGCCGAGTGCCGCGGCCCCAGGGCCGCCCGCCGCCGCCACGTTCGCCAGCATCATGTAGTCCAGCACGCCCCTGCGACCGCGGCGAGGGGCCCGCCCCACGCGGGCGGGCGAGGCCCGGGCAGGCACGCGCCGGAGGGACCCCCCCCCCCCGAGAGAAGAGGTGGGAGTGGCACAGCGCTCGCACTGCCGCAGCCCCGCCGCGTGCCGCGGGCGGACGAGGCCGGGACAGGGCCAAGATCGGAAAAGGGACAGACCGGGGAGCCCTGGGATCATCTGAGATCACCGGCGGTTCTCTGAGGTGCCTGAGATCGAGGCAGGGGCGCAGGGGAGGAGGGCGACAGATCGGACAGGGACAGATCAAGGAAGGCGGCATCGCGCGCCGCGGCCTTCTCAAAGCGGTCAGGACCGCGCTCTGGAACCGTGTGTCCCGGTCCCGGCCCCGCCCGACCGCGGGCGGACCAGCGGGCGGACCAGGGCGGCGACCGAGGACCCCGGACCCCACGCGTCGTGCAGAAATCGCGACGGAGGGTATTTCGATGTTTTCGGCCTCCAGAGGCCCTTACCGCATACGTGGTGGTGTTCAAGCAGCATCAGTCAGGACTCGCTTGGAAGCACGCGCTGCGCAGTCGAATGTTTTAACATGCATCGCTTTTGTAGCGTACTGTTCCTGCCGTGCTGTCCACGCACCGCTTGGTGTACGACTCGCTTGCTCGCTTGGGGGCCCTTCCTGGGCCTCGCGCCCCTCGAAAAGCGGCTCTAAGTGAAAAGCTGGCCCCTGGGAAGGAATCCAGACCATTGGGGGTCCACGTCACGAAAAAATCACGACGCTGGGGGCCTGGGGAGAAGGCAAGATCGAGGCTCGAAGACGTAGAACCGAGGTCTGAGCATCAAAGCTTTTGTGCCTTTGCCAGCCGTTGCCATTTTTTGCTCAAGGCCCTCAGGAGGCCCAAGACACATATATTCCTCAGGTTTGTGGAGGCTTTTAGGATTCACGATCCCTGCAGTCAGAGCCTGCTCAGGCCCTGCAGGCTTCCAGCGCGGCCCCGGTTCTCCTGCCCTCGCGAGCGCAGCCATGGATTTTGAGAGGGGAGCTCGCCAACACCATCTCGGAGTCGCCGGTCCCGACACGCGGCTGGTCGGCAGGCACACCGGTCAGGGACCTCAATTGTTCGGCCCATCTTCTCCGACCTGCCTAGGTGGAGTTTCTTCGCGTACCACCCCCATCCTCGCGGACGACGGCTACTGCACGAGGAAGAGGAGCAGAAGAGCAGGAGCAGCAGAGCGACCGTCTTTTCAAGCAGCCAGACTGTGACGCAGGGATGAGAGAGGACCAGGCGGTGACCATGGCAGGGATCGCTGCTCCTTCGGCCCGTGACATCGGCAGTGGACGAGCTTCGCAAAGAGGAGCAGGGCAACATGAACGACCTAAATGCCAACCTCTCCGAGCGCTTCGATCTGATCGAGCAGCGCATGTCCGTCACCGATGTCCGCGTCAAGAAGCTGGAGAGCCTGTACAACGACCTGCTATAGCACCCCGCCATAGACGCGGACATGCTGGAGAGGAAGACGACGGAGCATGTCCACAGGAGCAGGCATGGATAAGAAGGCCGTGACCGCGGACGTTGGCAACTTGGAGAGCCTCTCGGACCTCGAGGTGGCGACCACGTGGTTGAACGACCAGCTCTTGTCCCTGGGGGCCCCGATGCCGACGAAGATGTACGCCACGGGGCGCTACGTCGGCATCATACTCGCGACCGAGCTGTGGAGCTCCTTTGATCGCGACCGAGCTGTGGAGCTCCTCAGGGGAGGCCGGCCTACGGCGTGGACGTAAGCAACTCTGAGCGAGTCAGCCCCTGAGCGCGCGGCCAGAAACTGCTGTGACGGCCTTAAGCGCATCTTGAACACGGACTGGCAGGTGCCATTCGCAATTTCGATCACGTGATCACAGTGGGCGGGGAGCATGCTCTCACGGTGAACGTCACGAAGACCGGGGATGAATACGACTGGCAGGGCGAGTAGGCTTCTTGGGACGAATTGCACCAAATGCATTGATCACCAAATTGCGCCAGGATCGTATCCAGGGCGGCACCCAGCATGAAAGGCACGGATCAGGGAGGCGGGCGAGGGTCCGCAGACCATTGACAAAAAATCATGTTCCAAACGTTTCACCTGCAGTCGGCCATACTGCACGTATGAACTATATTTTAAGCAATGTGTACTGCATGACTGGTGATTTGATGCCCGTAAACGGCGCTACTACTGCATCGTCAAAAACAAATTCTTCATTACACACTTCTGCACATCAATTTGGAAATCATCATGAACACAATTCGGGGCCAGACCCCGCTGGTGATCGGATGGTGTGGTGAGGGTTTCGGGGCAGTCGGCTGAGGCCGCGTGGGCTGGTTCTGGCACTGGGATCGCGGAACGTGGAGGGGCTCACAGAAACGAAAATGGAGGAACTACAGGTTTACATGGAAAACATGGATATCGACACCCTGGAACTGGAGGAAACTCACAAATCCAAGTCAAAGCGCAACATCACGAGCCACGGCGTCTTGCTGGTGCTCTCTGGAGACGCGGAAGAGCATGAGACCACCAGAGTGAGATTCTTGAACTCCCCGAAGCTGCTTGCCAGCGCAAGTGCTTTCAGGATGGTCTCTTCGAGGGTCCCTGTAATGAAATTGCGGGCTTGTTGTGGCAAAATCTTGCGTGTCCAGTATTGACGCGCGGCACAACGGCAAGCCCGTGGAAGCAAAGCAAGAGTTCTAGCAGACGCCGGGCACCACAATCCGCAATACCTCTAGTCATGGTAGGCGAATGCTATTGGGAGATTTCAATGCGAGGCTTCACCGACAACTTCCTTACGACTTTCCACGCGGCGGGCCCTACGTGTTCGGCTGCCTCACTGCCCAACCCGACGCAAATTCAAATCGATACCTGCTCTGTGGGCTTTGCGACACCCACTGGATGACGTCAAATAGTAATTACAATGTTTCGACCAACCGGCGGCCTTGCAGATCACTTTTTATAACGTCGGGTCCCGGCCCGAAGACCCAGCCAGCTCTTCCAGAGCACTTCAGGCAAATCGAATTTCTGGTTTGTTCTGCAGAGGGGAGCGAAACTGTCTCGGACGTGAAGAGCTGGAGAGATGTACCTTTGGCGTCGCATATTTGTTTGCTGCTATGTCACAATCATGTGGACATACCTATAGATGGTCCGACACAGATGCCCATGCCAGACTTGCACACGCTGCAAAGGGACCGCCATCAGGAAGACTGCGGCGCGGAGCTGTCTGACAGGATAACGGAGACTGAGACCGATCATTGCACGCGGGACAGAACCAATGCACACATGGTGAACGCACTCCGGCACGCAGCAGAAGTATGACTGCCGACGCTGCCAGCAGCCCGCCACCGCCCCTGGATCAGTCACGCTACCTTGGAGTTGATCACCTCGCGGAATGACGCCAGGAAAAACGGCGACTGTACCAAGGAGAAACAGCTCAACGGCATAATCAAAACGCCTGCGATGGCAGACACGAACAAATGGTTTGTTGATTTTCTCGCTCCTGGGAACTGGGCAGAGATCCGAATGTTAAGGAAGGGCTCCCAGACAAAACACGGCCGCATGAGGGACGCGACTGGCGCGCTCGCGGGTAACGACCAACGCGCAGACACACTGGCGGAGTACTTCTCTACTGTGCAATGAGCTGTGCGGCCGGCGAACGCTGTCGACGACCCGTCGCCGATTGGCCCAGACCTGCCACTGGCGAGTGGCCCTGTTCGGTCTGACGGGGTCTGCAGAGCCGCGAGGAAACCGAAGCGGAACAGAGCCTCTGGAGACGACGATTCCTGGAAAGCGATATGCAGGCAAGGCACGGCAGCGCGCGAATGGGCCACAAAGTTGCGCAACCCATCCTGGACTACGAAGGATGTTCCTGACGCCTGGCACGAAGCTATCGCAACCGCACTGTTCAAGAAAAGAAACTACGCCGGCTGCACCAATTATAGACCCATGTTTCTGTTGCCGATCGGAAACAGACTTCTACGCAACTGTGCTCCTCAACCGGTTGAACGAAGCTGGTGCGGAACGGATAACCTGGGGCACCAAGTTCGGGTTCCGGTCCGGCCATGGCACGACTGACGCGGTGTTCATTGCCCCACGCCTGATCGAGAGCATTTGGGAAGCATGTCTTGGCAAATTCGCGATGTCGGCGCTAGACTCTGCAAAAACGTTCAACAACATGTCCACCGACAGCCTCGTGCAGGCGCTCGTCCGCTTTGGCGCGACGCATGAGCTTGCAGCGGCAGCTAAAGCTGTACACTCTGACCGGACCATTCGAATACGCGAATATGAGGCGACGTCTGCGTCGCGACCTCCAGCATTCGGCGTGTCTGAAGGATGTACTGTATCACCGTTGTGTCTTCAATTATCATGACCATTCTAGTGCACGACGCAATTCGGGCGTTCCAAGCGCACGGGATACGCGCGTGGCTGCCGTGGCTGGGTACAGGATGAATCCGACTGCAAAACCACGCGCAAAATTCAACGAGCTGGATCGAACTACAGCTTATGTAGGCGACTTACTGAGCGCCAATGGAAAGAAAGGTCCAAGACTGAGCCGCATACTGTCCAAGCTGTGTACTGCATGCACACGCGCTGGCTAAACAGCGCAAGATGCAACAAACATGACGCATTCCAACCCGTTGCCTACGGTGTCTTGCAGGTATCGGCTACTCCTGCTACAGCCGTGTCAGCAACGCCGCTGTATTGCAACGTTGTGGCGTGAACAAACTCAGTCCTGTTTTCATAATCCGGCAACAATCCTGGTGGGCCAAATCGCCCGCATGCCGAACAAGCACCCTGTACGAAGATGCGCGTTCCGCCCCGGTTCCTTCGATCTTGTGCTGCCAAAAGTCCGGCGGAGGACATGCTGCGAGACACTAGGAGCATAAAGGTACACGCGTTCGCGTGCAGCGCGGCTGGCGGCAGAGAGCAGCTCAACGCATTGCCGGGCACTGCTTCGGCAGGAGTTGAGTGGCGCACAGTGGCCAGACGTTTTAGCTGCAATGCATGAATGTTGTTTCGTTGATCACGCCTCCATCCGTCTGCTCCCTGTCTTCTGTCCTCGTCCCGCTTCTTCAATGAATTACTCGGCAAAAGAGTCTTGTTGCGTACGTAGTCGTTATCATGAGTTTTAGGGGTGGGTTGCAAAACACTGAAAGTTTGTCCAGCCACCGCCCGCCTGCCTGCGGGGTGTTGTCGTCGTCCCTCTCCTCCTCCGCCGTCCTGTGTCGTTTTTCTACATGCTCTCCCCCCTGCTCGTCCGTCGGGCTGTCGCCCTCCTCTCCTCCTCGCGACCGTCGTTCCCCGTCGCCCGTTTTCCTCCCTATGCTCCCTATCTGGGCTCCGGGCCCGACCTGGACTTTGGGTGTCGTTCCCTTTGCTCCCTGCTGCCGTTGCTCTCCCGGGTCGTCCACTTTGCGGGCGTCTTTGGCGAGAAGGCGCTGCACTGCGTCGATTTGTTTCACAGCCGCGCCCCTTCTTGTCTCACCGTTTTCCAATGCCCCTTTGGTATGCACGGTTGTTTCTTGTTTCTCTCTCTCTCTCTCTTTCTCTCTCTCTCTCTCTCTCGTTCTCTCTCTCCTTCTCTTTCTCTCTGTCGCTCTCTCTCTCTCTCTCTCTCTCCCTCTCTCTGCCAACCGATGCGAAGGGAAGTCACCACCAGGGGGGGTCGCGACATCGTCGAGGAAGCAGACGCCGCTGACCCCGCAGAGCCCTCCAAGACTCCCAAAGGTGCCCAAAATTAGCCTGGCGAAGGACCCAACAACATGCAGTTGTGAAAACTGCAAATGCGAATATCGTCTTCGGCGGCGCTCCCAATCGGGTCACGGACCGCGTGAAGGGGCGCACCGAAATTTGCGGCGGGGCACATAACATGAACGAAGACGATAAGTCTGAGCACGAGGGACTGAAAGCGAGTGAGTCTGAAGGCGAGCGAATCTGATTGTGCATGAATGTCGACGCCCATGTCGGCACACCCTCACGAGGATCCTGCCCGCTCCCTTTCCTTCTTTTTCTCCCTCCTTGCCCATGCACGCCAATGTCCAAGGCGACGGGCGCAACGCAGCGCGGAGTTCCCGCGACGCGCGCCGGTCGCCCCGCAGGGGTCCCACCAAACCGCGCGCGGTTCGTCCGCTGCGCGGGGCAAAGAGAGCTACTACTGGCTGGCTGATAGCGGCCAAAGCTCTGACCGCTGGGAAGAGCGAGGACGAGCGAGCGAAGCGCTGAGCAGAGCGCAGCACGGAGATCCCGCGACGCGCGCTGGGGCCACGAACCGCTGTACTGGGCGGGGGAACCGCATGCAAGTTCCGCCACTAGGATCTTCGGTGGAGCTCCCTATGCCCCTATGGGGCCACGAAACGCTGTACTGGGTGGGGGAACCGTATGCGCGTTCCGCCAGTGGGTCCTTCGGTTGAGCTCCCGATGGTGCCACGAAACGGTGTAATGGGTGGGGGAACCGCATGCGCACTCCGCCACTAGACCTTTCGGTGGAGCTCCCTATGGGTCCACGAAACGATGTACTGGGTAGGGGATACGCATGCGAACTCCGCCACTGGGACTTTCGGTGGAGCTCCATGGTGCCACGAAACGGTGTAATGGGTGGGGGGACTGCATGCGAGCTCCGCCACTGGGACCTTCGGTGGAGCTCCCTATGAGGCCACGAAACGCTGTACTGGGTAGGGGAACAGCATGCGAGATCCGCCAGTGGAACCTTCGGTGGAGCTCCCTATGGGGCCACGAAACGCGTGACAGGTGTGCCGAAGTGGGTAGGGGGACGCATGGATGGAGATTACGGCATGATGATGGTGATGGTGATGGTGATGGTGATGGTGATGGTGATGGTGATGGTGATGGTGATGGTGATGGTGATGGTGATGGTGATGGTGATGGTGATGGTGATGTGTGATGGTGATGGTGATGGTGATGTGGTGATGGTGATGGTGATGGTGATGGTGATGATGATGGTGGTGGTGGTGATGTGAATGATGATGTTCATGATGATGATGGTGTTGATGATGATGATGATGGTGATGATGATGATGATTATGATGATGATGGTGCTGATGATGATGATGATGATGGTGATGATGATGATGATGATGATGATAATGATGACGATGATGATGATGATGCTGATGATGATGATGATGATGACAATGGAGGGACGAGGGAGAGAAGGAAGAGAGGCGGAGAGCAGGAGCAGGAGGAGGAACGCGGGGCGCTCTCTCTTTTTTTTTTCTCTCTCTCTCTCTCTCTCTCGCTCTCTCTCTCTCTCTCTCTCTGCAAAACGAAGAACCAACACCACAGGATGGTTGGGAAAAATCCCAGACCTCCGCCATCCTCCCTCCTCCCTCCTCCCTCCTCCTGCAGCTCCTTGCTCCTCCCTCCTCCCCCCTTCTCATCATCCTCCTCTTCGTCCTCCTCCTCCTCCTCCTCCTCATCCTCATCCTCCTCATTCGCTTCTCCTCCTCCTCCTACTCCTCCTCCTCCTCCTACTCCTCCTCCTCCTCCTCCCCCTCCTCCTCCTCCTCCTCCTCCTCCTCCTCCTCCTCCTCCTCCTCCTCCTCCTCCTCTTGCTCCTCGATCCTCGATTGCCAGGAGGAGCAGGAGACCTGCCTAGTGGTGACCCTCCATGGCATTGCCCGAGTCTGAAGCCCTCCAGACGCCTTGACTGGGGACCTCTTCAGTGCCTCTCCAAAAACCTTTCCGTGGACCTCTCCTGCAGGACCTCTCCGGAGATCTCTGGGGGTCCGGACCCGGATCTCCGTCGACCACCCAACAGGAGGGGCTGGGTTCAGTACCCCCCCACCCCTGGGCCCTCCACACCAGCCGCCCTTGCCCGCCATCGATTACATTCCCCACTGGGGGCGCAGAAAATGCGCGACAGTTGCACGCATTGCGGCACCCTGGCACGGCGAAGTCTCCTTGGATAACTACGCGGGTGCCACCCGTCCGCTGGACCTCCCAGAAGCCATTGGAAAAAGCATTGAAAATCAGCGGCGGTAGAAGAAGAGAGGAAAAGCGATGAGGGAAGAGGAGGACTGAGGAGTGATGACGGGGAGGAAGAGCTAGCTGCAGCAACACTGGGATATAGAGCCATCTAGCCAGGAGGGGGAGAAGATGAGGATGATGATCAGTATGAGGGTGACGATGGTGACCATGATGGCGATGATGATGATGGTGATATGACAGTGATGATGATGATGCTGGCGATGGTATTGATGAAGAGAGGTGGTGATGATAACGGTGACGATGCTGATGGTAATGTCCAGCAACAACAAGAGGAAGATAATCGAGGTCGCCGGCGGCAACGTCGACGACCAGAGGAGCCAGCGGCGACAGAGTGCTGGGAGGTTCGTGGCGCGCCCCGGCCTGAGGTCTGCGTCGAGGGCGGTCAACGCTTCCTCCCGTTCTCGCGCTCCTGGGGAGCGGCGTCGTTGTCGTCGGTGTCGTCGTCGTTGCCGCCGCTTCCTCCTGGTCTGGTCTGGTCTGGTCTGGTCGTGCGCACCCACGCTGAGCGCGTTGTGCCGAAACCCTGGGCAAAGGGCCCTGGGCAAGAGAGCAGGCATGGCTCCGCCCCAAGCTGGGGCTCTGGCAGCGCGGCAGGTGCCCTGGCGCGCGTGCCGGCACGGCGGGGCCCTATCTCGCAATGGCAGAACACTTCTCACGGCCCCCGCAGCGCCTAGCCTGCCTCCTCGCCCACTGGCGGCGAGCACATGCGCCGCGCAACTGCACATGCAACCTCCAAGTTCTCCAACCACACCAACATCACCTTCCTGTCTGTGGCTTGGCGACGACGAAGAGGAGAACGACGGGAAGGGAGACGACGCCGACTGCAACAACGACAGCGAGGACGGCGGCGGTGGCGGCAGCAGCCGCAGCGGCGACGGCAACGACGGCAACAATAGCGACGCCAACCGCACCGACGACGCCTACAACGGCGACGACAGAACAGGCGGCGGCGGCAACGGCAGCGGCCACGACGGCTGCACCAAAAAAACTCCTCCTCCTCCTCCTCCTCCTCCTCCTCCTCCTCCTCCTCCTCCTCCGCCTCCTCCTCTCCTCCCCTCCTCCTCCCTCCTCCTCCTCCTCCTTGTCCTCCTACTCCTCCTCCTCCTCCTCCTCCTCCTGCTCCTGCTCCTGCTCTTCGTCCTCCTCCGCCTCCTCCTCCTCCTCGACCTGCTCCTCCAACCTGCTCCTCCGACTTCTCCTCCCCATCCTCCCTCCTGGCTCCTCCTTGCTCTTCTGTGCTCTTCCTGGTCCTGGAGCCCGCGAATCGGAGGCACGGTGGATGTACGGATAGAAACCCTGCCCGCACCCACCCCCCCAGAAGGTCGCCCGCCTGCAAGGAGTGCGCTCAGCTCCCTGTCGGCGTCCCGGGCCGCGGCCTCCAGCGCCTCTGAAAGGCAACGACAGGGGGGGGGGCAGGCTCAGGGGGAAAACATCGAGCTGGAATCGGCGATACTTCGCCGATAGGGGCCTGATGGCCCACCCACCCCAGGAACGTGCGTCCCGCCCTGAACCCCCTATCGCCGATCTATCGACGATGCGTCGCCGACTCCAGCTCGATATTCCCCCCCCTGAGCCTACAGTCAAACCTGGTGGTAAGGATACGCGGTAATGATGCAAGGGCCTTAGACGCCCATGACGAAGCTTTTCGAGCGGGGCTGGCCAGCCAAGGTGGTGGAGGATGGACCGAAAAGAATCGAAGAGGCAGGGATGCCAGGGTGTCTTGGGAAGTCGATAACCCTGGCCAGCAGAGTTGACTGAGTCCCCCCCCACACCGTTGCCCCCGAGCCTCCAGGACCGCGGAGGGGTCCGACTCTTGCGCTCGCCGGAGCTCTAGCTGCAGGGCGTGCAGCTGCCCCTCGAGCTGCTCGACCTCCCGCTGCCTGCCGTCCAGCAGACGGCCGCAGCACGCCAGCTCGTCCTCGGAGCGTCGATTGACCGATCCCCCATCCCCACGAGGCGAGCGATGGAGGGCAGAAAAAACATCTCCATAAGAGGCACCCCGACAAGCAGAGCCGCTTAAGACACCAAAGGAAGGAATCCAACAGGGCCGTTTGGTGACCGTCAGTTATGGGGGTCGGGGTGTCTGTTCCTCCCTTGAATCGAACAACACGCACCCATACCCATGGGGAGGACAGGGGGCGGCTATGGATGCTTGTTGTCAGATGAGGACACCGCTCGAACGGGAGCGTACCCAAGGGCCCGATTAGGCCTGAAAATTCGCACCCATACCCACAGCCAGTTCTCCTGCCTCCGACCCCCGTATGGGTATGGGTGTGTGTGTGTTGTTGGTGTTGTTCGCTCGTCGCCACTGGCGTGCGTGGCCTGGGCCCCACTGGCCGATTTACCCCCGTAGTTGGGGATGTAGACTGTTCCTTTCGGGTTTCGAGGGGCCGATCCCCAAGCTGGGATGGCGGAATGGTGGGGCTCAGATACCATGGCAAGGTGTGGATGGGGATAGGTTTAACTCGGCGGCGAGCGAGGGGGGAAGTGAGGAGGAGGAAGCCGTCTCAGAAGGCGGCGGGGCTTCTCGGAAACCTTCAGGCTTTCTGAAAAGTTGTCTGCGTCTTCGGGGAAGGCTTGGGAAACTTCTCAGAAGGCCCGAGGACCTCTGGGCCTTCTGAGAAGGCCCGCCCCTTCACACTTCCCTCTGGGCTCGCCGTCGATAAACGATGCTGATCCTCGATACCCATCACTGCCCTGCATTCGGCCTCGTCCGCCGCGGCCAGCATCTCGCGCGCCTGCTGCAGCGCGCCAGACGGCCCGTTCGCCTGCGCCAGCCGACCCTCGGCGACCTCGGCAGCGTCGCGCAGGTCGGCGCAGCGGCGCACCTCGGCGTCGTACTCCAGGCGCAGCCGCGACTCCTGCTGCTCGATCGCGGCCGCGCGCGCCTCGAGCTCGGCGATGCCGAGGGGCAGCGGCGCCACGGGGTCGAGCTCCGTGCCGCCGCCGCCGCCGCCGCCGCCAGCAGCACACCCCAGCGGCGCGGCCTCGCGCTCGAGCTCGGCGAGGCTGACGGGCAGCAGCGCCGGCGGGGCGAGCTCCGAGCCGCCGCCGCCGCCGCTGGCGGCCCACGCCACCGGCGCGGCCGCGCGCTCGAGCTCGGCCCAGGGCGGCGCAGGGGGGGCAGCGGCCGGCGCGGGCAGCGACGCCTCTGGGAGCGCCCACCAGGGCGACCGCGCCGTGGCCGAGGCGGTCGGAGCCGCGCTCTCCAGCCCCTCCTCGCCCTCGAGGTCGCCATCCTCGTCCACGAAGCCCCTGGTGCACCGCCAGGGAGCATCTAGGTCACCCAACTTCGTGCATCGCGCCCCGCGATGCCCCACGCGAGGTTATCTTCGCGCCCTCGATCCGCCGCCCTTGAGAACGGCGCCCCTTAAACGCAGGCGCGAAGCGAGGTTCTCTCCGCGCCCCCTGGGCGACCTAGGAACGTCCATGCCCACGGATTCCAAAGACCTGCCCTGGGTCACTGGAGAGTGGCGGACACAGACACTCGCCACCCGCAGCGGCGGGCCGAAGAACCCACGGCCACCACCCCTCCTGGGAACCCCAAAGCGCACGGCCCCGAAGCCGCGGTGGACACGGAGCGCGCCCCGACACGCCGACGCCTGGCCCGCTCGTCGGCGTCCTCGGAGGACGCGTCGCTGCCCACGTGAGGGGCGGCGTCGCTGATCACCTTGGCCGCGCGCACACGGGGGTTGGGTGGGCCCAGGCGTCTGAGCAGGAGGCTGCTTCTTTGATGGCGCCAGCCTTACATCTGCGGATAAGGCCCGCGCCGTCTAAGCAGCAGGGTGGTTCTAAGAAGTCTTCCCCCCCTCTACAGTCACAATATGGATTCTACTCCCCTCTATCCCCCGGAGACGCTGGTGAGGTATCCTGGCCTCCTCCGTGTATTGTTTTTTGCAAACATAAGGTCTCCTACATGAGAATCAACATGGTTCTCCAATCCGAACGCTTTCAGTCCTTTCAGAATGGCGCTCACGCTACAGAGTTGGCTCCATTTTCCCGTTCCCAGTCCTTCAAAACCATGTGCCAACTGCAGCGCTGACATCATGTCAATGTTCCGGTTCTTCCGAATCGTGCTCGTGCTGCAGCGTTGGCTTCGGCTCTGCGCCTCCAATCATTCCAAATCGTGATCCCTCTGCAGCGCTGATCTCATTTCCGCGGTTCTGATCCTTCGAAATCGTGCTCCTGCTGCAGCGCTGATCTCGTGTTGCGCTGCCCGCTTGTCAAATCGTCCATTTGCATCTCTCGTCCTGTGTCACTTCTGGTTTCCCTCTGACCTTGTTGTCGAAATTGGTCGCGTTCTCGACACAACGACGTCGGCTGTGGCCGTGCTCTTATATGCCATGCCATGTCCTGCTCGATATCCGACTGTGCGGGGAGAGAGAGAGAGAGAGAGAGCGCGAGAGAGAGAGAGAGATCTACGCAATGGGAAGGGATGGGAGGGAGGGGTAGGACGTAAGATATGACGATTGCCCACCTGGCTTGCCCTACAGTCAGACTTTGGACAGAAGAACATCCTTCAAGAGCACGAGGCCCTCCGCCGGCTGAAACACACAGAACATCCATGGGTGCCCTCCCCAGGATGCACGAGAACATCCAACAGACACGCAGAACATCTTAAGGGTACCCTCCCCGAACCGACCTCGATCTTGCACCTCGGTCCAACTGTACCCCCCTCCGATGGGCCGAGGTTCCACCACCACTACCATAGGTAGGAGAAGGAGGAGGAGGAGGAGGAGGAGGAGGAGAAGGAGGAGGAGGAGAGGAAGAGGACCTCCCCATCCTCCCTTCTCTCCCGTCCTAAATGTGGCAGCGGTGGTGGGACATTGGCCCATCACCCTCGGCGCGCCGCTGCTCACCGCGGCCAGCGGCCTCCCGGCAGCAGCGCAGCGCACGCCCCAGCCCGCCTCCGCCGCCGCGGACTCGGCCCCCGTCGGGCGCGGCCTCTCGGCGCCCGCGCCGAGCAGCGACCGCGCCGCGGCGCAGCGCCTCGCCGCCTCGGACTCGGCCGCCGACAGGCCGCCATCCTCCTCTTCCTCCTCTTGAGGGCGGAGCCGGGAGACGAGGACAACTTCGGGCGAGGAGGAGATCGAGAATCTCTGAGATCCGGCGGCTCTGGAGGATGTCTCAGGCGACGCGGGCTTCTCGGAGCGTTCCGGAACGCTCCCGGGAGCGTTCTGGCACTTTCTGGAACGGATTTAGCCTCGTCCTAGCCCCGTCCGATCCTTTCGTCGAAGGCGAGGCCAGAGGGGGAAGTGAGAAGGGGCGGGCCTTCTCCGAAGGCTCGGAAGGCCCCCGGCCTTCGGAGGAGTCTTCTATCAGCCTTCTCTAGAGACGCTGAGAACTTCTCAGAAGGCGCGAGGGCTTCTGAGAAGCCCTGCCGCCTTCTTAGAAGGCCTGGTCCTTCTCACGTTCCCCCCCGGGCGAGCCGCCGATTTGGGGAGGGCGCCACCGAGCACACCAGGAGAAACAAGTGACGCAGGCATCCCTTTGCTCCGAGCGACGCGAGAATCACTGCGGCAGGTTTTTCGTCGTTTTCGGCCTCCAGAGGCCTTGCCTGGCCCCTGGACCGTGGAACAAAAACTCGGGATGAAAATCTGGCCCCGGGTTGTGTCCGAATGCTGGGGGGGGCCGACGTCACGGCAAAATGCAAATGTCGGAGGGAAGGGATGACGTCGGAGATGCGCGCGGACCTCTGAGTGCTCATGCTTCTGCCGCTTGCTACTGATTCGGTAATCAGAGTCTTGGCAGTGGCGACAACCTCAACCCAGCGACGGAAGAGCGCCTTCTTGGCCACGCCGGCTGGGGCACTCTGCACGGCGCTCGGAGCGCAGGGAAAGGCCCAGAGGGCCCTCGGCCTCGACAGCACTGTCGTTCGAACGGATGCCGGCGGCGCTGGAGGCCTTCCAAGTGGGGCCTGAGCGGGAGGGGTCGGAGGATCGCGCCGCATCGCCAATGCATCGTGCATTGGCGACGTCAGCGATGCATCGGCGACGTCGTCGCGGAGAAAATTGGGCTCCACATGGAGCCACATCGCCAATGCATCGGCGATGCGGCGCGATCCTCCGACGTCGTCTGCTATGACCCCATCTGGGCGCCCCGAGGCGCGCCGCCAGGAGGGTGTGTTTAACGGGGCCCAAGGGCACACACATAAATACACGCAAATCCCAGGATTCGTTATATGTTCCTATATTTTCTGGGTTTCGTCTTCCCACCACGAGGGGGGGGGGGCAGTGGGGGAGGCGTCTCAGAAGGAGACTGCTTCTCAGATGGCGCCAGCCTTACATCTGCAGATAAGGCCAACGCCGTCTAAGCAGCAGGGTGCGTGTAAGAAGCCTCCCCCACCACTACAGTCACAGTATGGATACTTCTCTCCTCTACAGAGTAGATTCAACAGTCACACTATGGATACTATTTCCCACCTGCCGGCCCTGCATCTGCAGACAAGGCCAGCGCCTTCTAAGAAGCAGGGGTGCGTCTGAGAAGCCTTCCCCCTCCACCGCTTCTGCCCGTGGCTGACTCTGTCGGAGGAAGAGAAAGCGGCCTACACATAAATGTTCGACGGTCCGCGCGGATTTGTGGGGATCTGCGCCGGACCCCCCTCCCTGGCGCGCGGCGCACGCCAGGGGCGGTGCTGGTGGCGCCGCCAAGGGGGCCCAGCGCCGATCCAAGAAATCCGCGTGGAGCGTCGAAAGTTCGTGTCTGCGCAGTTTCCGTCTCCCTCCCGCCTCCGCCGGGCGCCTCCTCTTTCCTTCTCGTGCATCGTGGCTTAATTCGCGTTACGTATGCCCTACGGACGTTCTATCCGCCAGCGCAGTCCCTCTGCCTAGCCGCCTACGCAAGAAAGTGCCTGCGCAGTTCCGTTTCCTCTTCGATCGGTGGAGGGTTGGCGGCGCACACAAGGGGGGTGGGGGGAGGGGGGGGGCTTTAGAAGCAGGCTGCTTCTTAGAAGGCGCCGGCCTTACATCTATAGATAAGGCCCGCGCCTTCTAAGAAGCAGGGGCGCTTCTAAGAAGCCCTCCCCCCCCCCCCCACCCCCCTGCGCGTGGCTGAGAGGGTCCTCGGCCTCGTCAGCGCAGTCGTTTGCCCGGATGCGCGGGCCGCGGTCGTCGTGCGCGGCCACCACCGGCATGCGCGGCGCCGGGCCGCATCGGCCGCGCGCCAGCAGGCGGCGGCGGCGGCCGCGCGGGGGCGCCCTGGCCGCGGCGCGGCGGGGCGCATTTCTCGGAGCAGCTGCGCGGGTTCCCGCGAGGCGCTCAGGGGAGGGCGCCAGCTGCACTGCGGCTGCACCCTGCGGCGCCCACGAGGGGGCGGCCTTCCGAGAAGGCGGAGGGGCTCCTCAGAGGGCAGGGCCCTGCGCAGAGGCCCTGGAGGCTGCTGAGGAGGCTTCTCAGAAGCTGGGCGGGCTTCTGAGGAGCCGCCCTGCCTTTTCGAAGCCCCGCAGCCATCTGAGGAGCCCACCTCCCTCGCGCCACCCCCTTGTGGGCGCTGCCGGCGCGCCGGTCCCAGACATCCGACGTTGTGACTTTCCAGCGCGCGGCCCCAGGGTGGTCCCGAGCCCCTTCCCTGGGGCCAGCCTCTCGCACTGGGCCCGTCGCGTGTTGGATGGCGCCCCCGAGGCACCCCGCCCTCCTGAGCGGCCCCGGCCCACTACCCTCCCCCCCGGCCGTCGCCCCGGTGTCCTCCCTCCCCCCCCTCTGGAACGGTGGCTCAAGTCGCTTCACGCCTGCCCCGTTTCGCTCCGTTCGCCAGCGCAGCGACTCTGCCTGGCCGCCGACGCAAAACACTCGATGGCCCCATGGGCCCGAGGTCGGGCCCCAGGGCCAAGATCGAGGAGAGGCGCCCCGACTGAAAAACGGATCGTCGGAGGCCCTGGCTGGCGGCGGCCAGGGGGGGGGGGGGAGCGGGGGGAGGCTTCCTGGGGAGGAGGCTGCTTCATAGAGGCGCGGGCCTTCCATCGACAGAGAAGGCCCGCGCCTCCTGAGAGGCAGGGGTGCTTCTAAGACGCCTTCCCCTCTCCCCAGACCCCCCTCCACGCGTGGCTGACCTGGCCCCAGAGGAGGTCCCGACCACGTCACCCAGGCCGGCCCAAGGGGGTGGGCCCGGACAGGAACTGAGATCTCCAACGACTTGATTGTTCAATCCCGACGTTTTCCTCGAGTTCGACAACTAGGGCCCTGGGGTCCACCTCCAGGCCCTGGGGCCATCAAAAATGGACCCGAAGCGAAAACCTGCTTTCCATCTGAGCGTGTTTCCTCGATTTCGGCCCCTGGGACCGGACACCGGGCCCTGGGGCCAACAAAAACGAAAGGGTCGGGACCTCTGGGGCCGCGCATTGAAAAAACATGTCGCCAAATGCCTGTGCCCCAACCGATGGCAATTCTGACATCCGGGCGTCGCGATTTGTTTCAGCCCGAGCGTGTTGGTCCAATCTCGGCGCCCCCGCGCCGACGCGGATCGATGCGGCTCGAGAGATGCCATGGAAAAATGGGGTCTGGGTCTCTGGTCGTGATTTATACGAGGCTGTTTTTTTGCGTGACGTCGGATCTCAGGGTACGCAGATCCTGCCCAGGCCCGTCCAGGATGCTTCCCCAATGGCCCTCTCACCACTCCTGCGATCCATGATTGGGCTTACGGAAAATAACAAGGAACATGTTGTGGAATGAGATGTGCTTCAAACGGGCCCACCATTGACCCCCTCCTCTTCGGGAAGAACTAGAAACTGGCAGCGAAGGGTAGGCCAGCTTCCTCTCCAAAGGTTCCAGGTCAGGCAGTGTCGCAGAAGGCTGCTTGAACTTGCAGCGTGTCGCGGAAGCGTTTTCCTACTCGTTCCAACTACGCATGCCGGAAGCCTTTCCCGAAGCTCCGCTGAAGCGCTGCAGCGGCTCGTGCGAAGCTCTTACGCCGAAGCCCGCAAGCTCTCCAGGCATATTTCAAGCGTCCTTGCAAGCGTCTCCTGCAAGCTTTTCACGCGCTTTGGACCGCTTCGCTATCCGAGTCTTGGACCGGGCCCACCATTCTCCCCCCTCCTGTTTGGGAAGAGCCATGGATCATGGTGCTGAGACATGTTGGCCCTGAGGCCAAGGAAGCTGCCAATTCAGAAGCTGCCTACTCTGTCGTGTGAAAATTATATGGCACGGGACCCCAAACTTACGGGCCTGTCCCGAAATGTAGGCCCCGCACCTCATACTCGCCATCACCGTCATCACCACCATCAACATCATCTTCACCATCATCAGCCTCAGCCTCATCATCACCATCTCAATCATCATCACTATCATTACAACCACCATTATCACCATCACCGTCAACAACACCAACACCACCAGCAAAACCACCATCACCATCATCATCACCAACCCCAACATCATCATCATCACCATCATCAGTATCAGCAAACTCAGCATCAGGCAACAGCATCAGTATCAGCATCAGCATCATCATCAGCGGCACCATCATCATCATCATCATCATCATCATCACCATCATCATCATCTTCATCATCATCATCATCATCATCATCATCATCATCATCATCATCATCATCATCATCATCATCATCATCATCATCATCATCATCATCATCAGTATCATCAGCAGCAGCATCATCATCACCAGCATCACAATCAGCATCAGCAGCATCAGCAGCATCATCATAACAATATAACTTGCCATTATCATCATCCTCATCATCAGCATCATCATCACCATCAACATCACCATCACCATCACCATCATCATCAGCAGCAACAGCATCATCACCACCACCACCATCCTCATCAGCATCATCCTCATCAGCATCAGTATCATAATCAGCATCATCAGCATCATCAGCATCATCATCATCATCATCATCGTCAGCATCATCACCATCACCATCACCATCACCACAGTCCATCCTGCCCCCCTGCCGCCTCACGCCTCGCCTCCTCGTCCCCCCCCCTCCCTCTC